TTCCTCACAGCATTACTGGACATGTGTCGCAACTACACTCCTTACTGTAGGCCAAGATAAGGATTAAGGATGTTAGGAACTTTACTCCAATTGGTAGATTATGATCGTTCGAGAGTCTGTTCATTCCAATGCGTGACCATCGGTTCGTCGCCGTGAAGCAATCGAACGCTGACGTCGAAGGGGATAGTTTTGAATTCACTGCTGGTGAATCATTGCTATCAACTTCAGCGTGGTACTCCTCTAACATGCCTTTTGTGACGTTCATTAAACGGTATGATGAAAAGCTGCGTTGAAGGTGAGGTACACGAGTGGCAACTATCAAACGGTTTGTAGGATAATAGAATCTATTAAATAGATTAGAGAGTCCAAATGTTAAAAATGCTATACCAAATCATCATCATCATCAATGATGATGAACTTAATAATAAGATTTTAACGGATCTTAGCGTCCTCACGATCAGCTCAGTCAGTGTCGTGTCACAACAATCATTGGCTGCTGATCGGTATGAGTTGGCTCTCTAACTCATACTACTCATCGTTGAGTTGCGATTCTGAGGCGGCTTGCATACTCATCAGTGTTACATCATCACCGTAGCTATTGATACCATACCCCGTACTATACCGTACTCCCCATTTTATACAACTCAAGACCAGGTGCTGTGCAGCTTCAACTGACAATGAGAGACCTCAACTTCCACCTCCTGTTAAAAGCCCACGAATACGGAATTCTCCGATGAGATGGCGGTGAGGACAAAGACACAGGACTGATCATAGACATAGACATATTGCTCTGGTTCTTTCGAGGAGAGAATATTTAAGAATCGTACTCCATCCACCTTATCATACTCCACAAATATTACAGTAGACCATTATCAATAATCGGATTACACACCGACCAGTGGTCGGCGACCACTGATGGTATAAAGAAATCACATATTTTGAATGAGTGATGACCATTCGAAAGGGACCTCATACCTTCACGCTGGAGAATTCACCAGAGTCACAAATTTGCCCTTCACTTTTGCTTCAACCGTATTCTCTTTACCATGGTAGAGAAAGCGCTCGAGGTCATGATTAATCAGCAAGTTCGGACACTTCTCTGCTGCTCCTTCCAAGAATCCATTGTAGCGCGGCATACTGGATTGAGATATGTTATATTCATCGTTACCAGAGTCAAGGTAAAGGGGCAGTGACTTGACTCCAATCGGAGCCTGTGTGCATGTGATTCGCAGGGTGACCGTGTATGGCAAGGACGGATCATCTTTAAAAGTTGCTGCCGCAGTTGCAGAGTCAGGCAGTTCCTTGGAGTACCTGCCGTTGGGTGGAGGATACTTAGCATCAGACTGGGTACCCAGCAGAGCGAAGATACCAATATAGGGTAGGATCAGGACCATGACGATTTGCTTTATTGAAAGGGACGGGGTATGAGGTTGATGGGAGTCGCTCCACCAACACAAAACAGAAGACTAACAGAGAAAAAGTTCTCTCTATTCATGGAATTCGGCCCGTCCTCAGTCATGTAGTATTAGCTTCTTGATCAAGCCAATCGCCAATGGTGAAGAACCAACACTGACATTGGCGCTAGATGATGAGTTAGCCCTCAGAAGATGTTTACAACTCGAAGTCCAATTACATCCTGATAGTACCGTAAGAAAAGGTCCCAGAAGTCTCTCTCATTACGGAGTCCTTCTGCTCTACCAACATCGACCAACTCACGTACTTCACGTGAAACGCTACGAATGAACAAGATTCCGCACAAGCTTGTGCTGCCTAGACCTCCCACGTGCCGTTCACGAGTGGGCCAAATAAAGGGTAAAAAGAAGTCAAGACAGATAGGATCACCGTTGGAAGCGACTGCCCAGATCGTCGTAGTGGTACCTCCATGCGCGACAGTCTCTCCCTAGTCGGCGACAACGTCACTGATTCAAGTAACCGCGGGTCACAAGAGTCTCGCGACTATCCTTCCATGAAAGCCCCTCCGACTCGAGGGTGTTGGATTGGAGAACCGAGGCGCCATTCAGCGAAAGCTGGGTGTTGGGCACCTGCTGGGTCCACCGCAACCACGTGTTGCTCTTCGTCCCTTTGGGGGAAGTGTATGTTGTTTGTAGAGCACTTGCGGTGGTGCAGACGGTTGCCTTTTGATCTGGTTGATAGATCGGCGCTCTCGGTCGCGACGTGACCGCGGTTCGCATCTTCGTAGCAGTGGCTGCCCATGATGGGGTAAGCTGGGGCTAGACTATGCCTGAGGCGTTTCTCGTCCGTATCTCCCAATGGCTAGATTTGGGCGTCGGTGGCAATTGTGTATACGGACTCGTAGATCCCGTTAATCTCGGCGACTAATCAGTGAGTCTGGTGGAGAGTTGTTATTCGTTACATGCCAGAACGCCGCGGCAGTCCTCTAAACACCAGCCGGGGCAGCATCATGAAAGTGAAGCGATTGTTGCGGCCGGGAATTGTCGAAGGACGTCGGCAGGTGAGGCAGGGGCTGCGGGCGAGCATGTTTGCGACATCAACGTGTCGATCGAACGACTCGAGGGAAAAACTGTGGATCGAAGTGTGTAAAGAGCATGGCTTGTCGCCATTTGCCATTACTAGCGAGTCCCTGGAGACGCGGCGGCTTGTTCCCACAACTCGCTGCCCGGGTTCTCACTCGGAGGTGTAGAGAGCCTGTATACAGAGAGTGGAACGGGCCCTCAAGCGAGGGCTGGGGAATCCCAGCCGAGCTAGACCGGTAAGCCCGACGGAGCTGAGAGCAGTGCTGCTCAATGCCCACAGCCCACAGGAGAAACGCAGAGCGGCTGGCTACATCCTCGGGAGCTGGTTCCTGATGAGGAGAGCGTGCTGTGTAATCTCAAACTGTCAGACGTCGCAGTGGAGGAGGGAAACAAAAGAGTGGAACTGATATCCACTGGATATTATCCAGGGAGTAGGTGTGAGTAGGGAGCATGGGTGTACATGCGTACAGGATATCGGGGGAAATCGACCGTGAGCTTTGCCCCGTAAGAGCAGCTCGAATACTGCTGGATATGAGGCGGATAGAGTATGGGTCTGCGGAAGATCAGCTTCTAGTTGATGCTCTAGCCTCTGCGGAAATCAACTTCACGAGAGTGGTTACGAAGAAACTTGGAGATGGCAGGGATTCGTGGGCCGACCGTTTTGTGCTTGCACAGTCTGCGACGGGGTGGGTGCCACATGCTGGCAAGAGCTGGTTTCGAACGCAGCCAAATCAGAGCGTCTGGACGGTGGTCCAAAGACTCATCGTGCATCGACATATACATCGGAGAGGCAGTGCCTCTGAGGCACTCCTTGTAATGAGCCCAACCTTTGCCGGATCGGTCTTGCAGGCAAACGAACAGCTGCAGCAGGTGCAAGATGGGAGTTTCCGGATGCGGTCCGGGTCATTGGCGATGGAGCTCCCCACATGCCGCAGAGGCGGTGAGCACAGAGATTCGATGGAGACCAGAGAGGCAGGGTTCATAGTTCTCAACCAGGACAGCGAGGGCTGGCCGCAGATGGTGTCAAGTTGACACTGTCAACTTCGAGCAATGTTGCGAATCATTGGCTCAGAAGGGGCCCTGACCCCTTCTGCTGGCAGCAGCTGCAGACGACGTCTGATTCAGCACGAGCATGGTTGCGCCGTATG